GCATATTATCTGCCGCCACCTCAGGAACCATCTCGAGGAATACAACATACGGACACATCTACAACATGGCTTCAGGTCAGGACACTCCTGTGAATCTCAGCTACTAATTACCACCTATGACATCACCAGCATGTACGACAGGAAGCTACAAGTGGACACTGCCATCCTGGATTTCAGTAAGGCCTTCGACAAGGTTCCCCATTCAAAACTCCTGTACAAACTAGAGAATTTCGGTGTGAACCCCGACATACTAAAATGGATCAAGGCCTTCCTGACATCACGGACCCAACGAGTACTTGTAGACGGCAGCCATTCAACACGAGTTAAGGTAGATTCAGGGGTCCCCCAGGGGACGGTCCTGGGACCTATACTCTTCCTCTGTCACATCAATGACTTGCCCGACTGCGTAACATCTACTGTACGTCTATTTGCTGATGATTGTCTGCTATACCGTCCAATTCGATGCCTCCAAGACCACCTGGACTTCCAAAAAGACCTCAAGTCCTTGGAAGAATGGGCAACGAAATGGGGTATGTCTTTCAACGCGTCAAAATGTTATATCCTGAGAACATCAAGATCCAAATCGCCTAGTGCCTACAACTACCAACTGTCGGGCCAATTACTCAAAGAAGTAGAAGAAAATCCATACTTGGGGGTGACCATTCACAACTCCATGAAGTGGGACTCTCATATCCGTATCACAACCAACAAGGCAAATTCCACTCTAGGATTCCTAAGACGAAACCTACGAAAGTGTCCAGCGTCACTGAAACTGACAGCATACAAATCGTTGGTGAGATCCGTCCTGGAATACAGCTGTACGATATGGGACCCTTACCAACAAAACAACATCCACTCGCTGGAAAAGGTACAACGCCGCGCTGCCTGATTTATAACATCAAACTATAGAAGGGACAGCAGTGTAACAGAAATAATGGGCAAACTAAAACTAGCACCACTAAAGGATCGCAGGAGAGACCATCGGCTTGCCCTCTTTTATAAGATCGTGAAGGGGCTAGTGGCCATACCTGTAGATCACATATTGACTCCATCAAACACCCGTACCAGATCAAAAAATAGTGAAAATTACCGACATTTCCAGTGTAATACGGACATATTAAAAAAATCTTTTGTTTTCCTCGAACAACAACAGAGTGGAATAACCTACCAGAAGACCTCGTCAAAATGCAAGAACTTAAAAGCTTCAAGACAGCACTACAAACTGAAACAATATAAACTAAAAGCGCACTCCTCCAACCCTGGAATTTATACTCAAATTTGAGGTCTTCCAGTAATATAGGGATATAGAAGTGACTAGACTTGCACCGGCCTATCTTTCGTGAAGCTGATATAGTGACAAACACATTGAAATCAGTAGTCCTTTGAGTCAAACATAATACCTGTCTGTGAAAGGTCAAAACTGGTAAAATTCGCTCCATAGCTACTCTAGTCGATCATTTGAGTTGGCCTTTGCCCTCCCGTGTTCCTATTTCCAGGCGAAGTAGTCGAGACTACCGGCGAAGTTGATCTGTTCCGGTCTTTTCAACCAATCAGAATGTGGCAAATTTTGAAGCCCGCGACTTTCAGACCACAAATATTTTTATTGCTTAACCTGATTCGTCAAAAATGTCGAAAACTTAAATTTTTAAACCCGTTTTAATGAAGAAACATTTAAAACCATAACGAAGACGTTTGCAAAGTTCACGCAAATAAGTTACGATGTGAAACATATTTTCTATTCCAGCAGTTTAACACGGTGTTTTTTAGCTTCTGATCTATTAATAACCAATCAGAGCGTCGCAAATTTTAAAGTCCGTTCTGCACGATGTAAAGGAAAACGATCGCATAGTATTGTAGTTTCGTTTTGTGTTACTATATATAGATTTTTGCTTGAACTATATATATACCACGCATACGATACAAAAAGAGCTCGCTGCGCTCGCTTTTAATTCCTGGTGCCTTGGTTGGCAGTTCCCTAACTTTTAGACTTAGAGTTGACGTTCACGCAAGTGAGGAAGGCAAAGGGCTCTATCCACATGCCGTGCGGCATGGCATTTAAATTAGGTAGCACTGTCAAGTTGAGCGTTCGCCCCTGTGAGGGAGGCTTTGAGTTCTTCCCCCTTGCCGAGACATACGAGTCTGAATAAAATGGTAGTTTCTACTCCTGCTTAACGCTCAGCAATTTAGGAGTAGGACGATTAGTTCGCCCGTTGTCAGTATAATGTGACAGGAAAGGCCGTCCTTAAATTACCATAGCTGTTGATAGGACGTTAAACAATACTTAACCAAACCAAACTATTGCCAAGATTGCATCATATCCACGCTATAGTAAGGCCACAAATATACCGCCTCAAGCACAAATACACATAACCAATCGTAAAAAATAGTACACACGTGGCACATCCTTAAATGATTCTATATGTTAATTGGACTTTGAACCCTAAATCATCCACAATTAATTAACTAGTTAAAGTAGATCAGTGTTTTTTAAGCTGCCCATCGCACCAGCTGTATGCTCCCCAAGGAGTTGAGAAATATATTAGCTGTTTGCAAATTCCCTATAACCGCGGATAGTAATTTGTAAACCGCTTTGAGACGGCCTACGAACTAGGTTTTGATAAAGCGGTATATAAGAACATCGAATTATTGGTAATATTATTGAAACAAAATATGCGTTGTATCTGCGTCACTGTATAATATAGCTTTGTTACCACTACATCTCTATTCAACCTTTGCCAATTCCTTCGGCTTTTTATTGAGCAAAACACATATTTCTAGCTTCTTTACAGGGACTTGAATTAATACAAAATAAACTCATATTTTAGTCATCTTCTGTGAGGCTTCCGTTCAATGCATGAAATCTGATCAATAATGTTTCAATGTATCACACTCACAATAGAAATAAATATTTTGTCATTTTCTTTTTATACATACGTCAATTTTTTCTTTAAATTTTTCTATAAATTTCTTTTAAAGAATATGGTCAATTTCTTTATGTAAACATGGCCAATTTCTGTGTATAGTATATGTGGATTAATTTGTTGTGTACTGAGAGTACTTCATTTGATATGCATGTGAAGTCGCAACAAAAGCTCTGACTTCAGAGAGATCGTAACAACCATTCCAGCTGTGCCCCAGGTATCTACCGGCAACTTCATAACAGTAATTGAGTGATGATTATCTTAAAGTATTGAGGTAAAACCAAAAATTACATTGCATCCATATGTACTGTAATCGAAACATCTAACATACCTTGTTATTTAATTAAGTCGAGATTGTACGTTATTTAAATAAACACTTATATGGGAATACCAGGTTATGAAAAGGCAGATCGCGCATACAAAGCGGCTTTATTGCTACCACCTGTTGATATTAAACTTCATTCAACAGATTTTAAATCGTTAATAACAAATTTGGTAAGGTCAAAGTAGCAAAATATTTGGAATCAAAGCGGAGACAATACATTACACTGTGTCAAACCTAACATCGGTAAATGGTATCCAAGCTATAGAGAAAACCGCCGAGGCGATGTTGTCCTTGCCTGTCTCCGGAATGGTCATTCCTACATAACCCATTCTTATTAATTGAAAAACGAAGACCAGCCTCAATGCATAGCATGTCACGAACTTTTTACAGTAAAACACTTGTTATTATATTGCATTGACTTTCAGCCAACAAGAAGATTATTTTATGATAATATAACAGATCTATATCACTTTTCGAAAAAGTCAGTATCTCTACAATTCCTTACTATCTAAAAACTGTCGGTCTGTTCAGAAAGATATAACTAGATCATAGCCACGTTTGCAATGTATTCAAAGTTGACTTTTGTCTTTTACCTGTTCGTTCGTTTGATGTTTTTCATTTAACATGTTTTGTCTACTATATTGGCCATAATGACCTCTTTTGTGTTGATGGGCCGTTAAGAATATAATAATGATAATAATAATACTGATAACCATAGCTTGACAAAGGGACCAGTTGATCTTGAAACGTCGCGACACGTTTGATACGTGCATGAACATTGTTTGTGTATACAGTTAAACTTTGATATTACTGAAAATGAGTTTATGTGTTAAAATACTGTGTTGATTGTTTTCACATTTTCGGGATGCTGTGTTGATTGATGTATTTTTTTTTATCTTGGCAGATGTAACAAAATGGGCTGTCAATTAGGTACAATTGTAACTAATTATAAAGAATAGAACTTATAAACAATAGAAATGTATGAGGTCAAATTTTATGATTGGGATATCACCGTGCGTTGATTGTGATAGCACCGTGCGTTGATTGTGATATCACCGTGCGTTGATTGGGATAGCACCGTGCGTTGATTGGGATAGCACCGTGATTTGTAGCTAGTGCCATAGGGCTATCCATCTAGTGGCGACAAGGTAAGTCAAGGATGACGTAGGGATAGAACCGAGATTGAGAAGTCTCCAAAACAGACAAGGTTACTGTCATTGTCATATGGTACATCTAGCATTGTTGTTTTGAAAGAGGAAAGTCAAATTAGATGTTGTATTAGAAGTAAGATTACATTGCTACACGTGCTTCGTAACTTGTACATGTACAATAGGTGGGACCTACTCATGAATCGTTAATGTTAGATAGGTTGTTAAACGTACGCGGGGGAAGATTTAAAAAGTAGTCCATAGTTAGGAGTTGGGAGTCGAGGTTCGAGAATGTCAGCATCTGGAGAGAGAGAGAGCCGAGGCAGGGAAGGTCTCGGCCGGAGGGGAAGGGGATGGCCCGGGTACGATACTTTTTGTGCTTAAGAACTATGGGTTTGTTGTTGTTACTCTTTATAATCTGTGTGCAGGTAGATTGCTGTCGTGTTCCAGAAATATGTTAAAAAGGACATTCATTAGATTTAAGACTGTCGCGGCCACAATGCGAAGTAAATAAAACGTCGAAGTCCACATGTGTTGTTAGCCTGTTATGTTACACAGATACAGCAATACACTTTCGAGATCAGCTGTTGTACGATTGCTTTCTCCTTGTTTGCATATCTACGTTTAATAGTAGCAGAAGCTGAGTATACTTTATCTTATTTGGCATATTGATATTATGCATTATCCTGGGGTTGTATATATCTTATTTGTCTTATTTGGCATATCGATGTTAATACAACTTCGAGATGCTGTGTTTACTTTTCCCCTATATGTCTTACCTGGTTAGATAAAGGTAGTCATGTGATATCATTCTATATGTTAATGCCGTAACCGCAAACACGTTAAATGATTGACATATAGTTCTGGTAATTTAAAAGTATGAGACACATATTAAGAAAGAAGGCATTCATCCTTGTAAATACAACCGTGCTAGGTACAGTATCATCAAGAGTGTAAATTAAATGTCCACGTATTTTGATGAAACATACTCCTTTAACTTACATATACCCCTACCTTATGATATTAAGTGATGGTCATTTTAGAGTCAGCAACATGACAGGAAAGAGCAAGATATGTACGCTGGTGCTACTACTGTACGTGACAGAGGTCGCTGGAGCGATGGTCAATAATTCTGAATGTCCTGTCATTTTGGAGACGTCTAATGGGACCACAGGGTTAGTATTTCTATTTATAGATGCACATTGTTTTATATCGCCTCAGATTATATATATTACATTAGACTTGTAATAAACATTATTATTATTATTGATAAATAAGATGTAAACAAACACAAAAGTGCATAGTGTGACACGCTGTTTGTTATGCTTATTATATTTGTCTATATAAACATACGATGTACGTATATAAAAGTAATTGATTCAAACAAGCAAATTGATTTTTATGCATCATAATATATTAAGCGTCAATGCTTTGGGTGGTCGTGTGGCGCAGTAGATAGCATTCTTGCCTTTCACCAAGGCGGCCGGGGTTCTATTACCCGATCTGACGTAAACAGGTATGGGGTCACCTGCCCGACCACGTGGGTTTTCTCCGGGCACTCCGGTTTCCTCCTACATTAAGACCCGCCGCGTACTTACATCCTGCCAAAAATAATGATTAATGTAAATTATAAAAACTTGTTCCATAATTGTTTTAAAATAAAACATAAAATGTTATATTTATATTATAAGCGTCAATGCGGACATGGTTTCTTGACAGTGTCCCCAATAATTTCTTTTAACACAAAACATCTCTGCATGGATGCATCCGGTTCCTCGGTGTTCTCAGTGAACATAAAATTCAGCGATAGCTAAAAAAGCACATAAAATTCAGTGATAGTTTACATTGCAGACAAAAGTATCAGTCAAATGTTGAATAGCGATTTGCTTGGTTTTCACGGCGATGTTAATAATAAATCAAAACGATCTACAAAGTATTATAGAACAGAGACCACACTTTGTATTTGAGCTTGGTATCTAACTGATTTTGTTTTTCATTTTGCTTTCAGTCACACTACACATTTATAACTTACTTCTTGTAGCAAAGCATTTGTAGACGCACAATTTGTCTACGCTGTCTACACTTTGTGATGACAATGATGACAATGATGACAATTTTACTCTGTAACAGAGCACGACAGTGTCCTATATACGCATGTATAGTATATAATTCACATACATTTGAATGCACGTTTTGCATGATTGAGTGTATAATAATTGTGAGAAAATGTTTGCGGAATGTATGCTTTTCCATCATTTGAATCAGGATGTTGATTATGTATTTCTTTTTAATGAAATACCATTGAACGTGCTATTGTGTGTCTTCCACCATTCGAATAACACAAGATGACCGAGATCATCCAATTATTTAACTTGTGTCGTTATTTTGTCCTTGCAAACATTTGTCACATGATGCCTCTTTTTCATTTCACCAACAAACCGAAGTCACAGTGCATGTCGTAAGGTCCGGCAGTAGAGTTAGTGGTTTAACTGTACAGTCTAACGTGGATGTGAAGAAATGTTTTGATAGTTAAGAAGGCGTAAGGTATTTTGCAAAGCATTGCGCTTTTATGATTTGTTGGTTAATAAAACCAACAGGCACATGTATAGTTACTCACCGATCAAAACATTCGTTACATCAGAGACGTGGAACAATATTAAAAACCCTCCGCAAAAATCGGATTATTAGTTTAAGCTTATCCCACGTAATTACTACAAGGAAAGTATGATGAAAGAGGACTCGCTAATAGTGGGAAAATATACAGTTATTCTCACAATTTTTGAAAACAATTATTGATCTTCATATTTTTGGTCAATATCATTTTTAGGTATAGATGATAAGTTTCGTGTTTCAGTCTTTTATAGACTCATACACGTTCGCTGTTCCACCTTTGACGTAAACGCTACTGAAATGCTACACAAACGGTACGCAAGCGCTGCGGAAATGGTACAGAAGTGCTACGGATGACGCTTACAAACGTTGGATTCGTTTGTATTACAACAACGGGTTTATATAAAAAGAGGAAGCATATAAAACATCTAAAACGAAACGAATATACCCACAATGCATATGAAGAAACATCAGTTAACTGTAGGTTATATGGAGGCCCATTAGCATGATTTAAATTTTGCCATTTCGTTTAGTTAATGGTATGAGTCTGAAATAAACAGAAATGTCTCGTGAATTATAGAGATAAAGGTCGATCAAATATTGCTATTTGTTTTCATCACAAAGCCTGACCTGACATCCGCTAAAAAGATCAACTCGAGTAATAATAAGCTATGTTCAGAAAATATTTCCAATTTCTTACCGAATGAAAGTCTCGTTAATATTGACAGTGAACATAATGGTTACGGATACGATTAATTTCGGGAAACTTAACAATTAATAGGCCTAACAATAGAAACAAATTATAGAATGTCCGACTCCTATGTTATGAGTGCAGTACTTCTTAATAATACGGCTATGGGTTTTCTTTATCGATCATAAATATGTAGGTATCTATACTGACTTTTCTACAGGTAAATCTGACCTGTCTGAACCCTTGTACTGGAGAAACTATGGCTGACTGGCACACCCTGAGGGTTGTGTATACTGCAGAGGGTAGAGGGGTCCAATTTCAGATATTATAGGCATTGAAACCACAGTCAAACCTCAATAAGTGTTTTGCTGTTTGTCCTAAATAGGCGTTGATCAAGGAGGATGGGACTGAAGGCGATAGCCTCCTTATCAGGTTCCAGGGGGAAATAGTCATGGTAGAGCAGAGCAAAGTTAAGGGGGGAACTAATTTTGTTTTATTTAATATATACATGTATCACTAATTTTACTTTTTTAAAGGGGGGGGGGGTAATATATCACTGTCAAGTTGCTCATAGTATATAATTCAACATGAAAACGTAATAATCGTTAAAGGAAGTTGATTACATTTTCCTCAAACTTCAAGTTAACGAGTCTCGGTAATAAAGGAATATTCGTGAAACTGGTGATGGGACATGAGCTGTGTCCGTGTCAACCTTTTTCCATATCTTGATAAATGACATCCGTTAGAACTGGACTAAAACACAATTGCTTCTCAGTACGCAAATGAGAGTGGTACATGTATCTGGTAGTCCAGTCGTCATGTAAAAAGTATCATCCGAGCTAGTGAAAATATTACACCAGTGCAGAAACGTATATATTATACTTTAAAGTAAACGTCTCTGACCGCTGTCAGACTTTTTGTGATTTTTTTTACATTATTTCATATGTGCTCAATACATGTAAGTGTAAGCGCTACAACGTTTCATCTTTTATTTCACAATACATGTACGCAATATCATTGCCAGGTCAATCCCAATCTCTGATACTGTCCACTGTGTAACTTACTAAGGGCGCCAAGTGGTACTTTTTGGTGAGCTGAAATAGGTCAATTATCTTTTTCATTGAACCATGTAAGTTCAGTAGTTTCGTTTGGTTTAATTTTGTTTAATATCCTATTAACAGCTAAGGTCCTTTAAGGACGTGCCTCCGTGTGTTTAGTGTATACGTGTGTGTATGCAGGAGACAGGGTATGTTAGTGTGCTCGCCTCCTTGTGATAGTGCGGATCTGATGCCGACTTTATTGTGCTATCTCACTGAAATACCATGTCGAAGGCACAAAGCACAGCATTCCGCCCGGTCACATGATACTGACAACGGGTGAATTGCAGTGAGGTAGCCCTATAAAGTCGGCATCAGTTCCGCGCTATCACAAGGAGACAAACGTGAAATATCGCATCCTCCCAAAACACACACCCATACACAACTCGCATGACCATGTATATGTTAATTCACAATATCATATTTAAAAAACTGACATTTCTTGCTTCCTCTTAAGACGCTTATAAGAATTGGAATACTTTTCACATAATGCGGATTATAACGATTTCGATAATTCGTTTGGACAAATGTATTTTCCGTAAACTTTGCAAACGAACGTTTCACAAACGGTTGTTGAATGGAAAGATGTAGACGCAAATGGTACGGAACTGGTACGGAAACGCTACGCAAGTGCTACGCAAGCGCTATGAAAACGGTACAGAAATGCTTCGATAACGATACGCTGAAAGTGGAACAGCGAACGTCTATGGGTCTGAAACACCGGTTCTTATAAACAGTCTTATAAACGATAAATTTACGCTATCACATTACAGGTTATGCATATAAAAGTTTAGCTGGGGGTAATTCTCAGTTCTTACAGTAATATAATTTCAAGATTGTTTAGTAAATTGAAGTCATCATTTAAAGTAACCAGATAGTTATAAAATTACACATTGATTTAGATTTTGAATTTCTCAAACTGTATCATCTTATCTGTGATATGAACCCCACTCAATCTGGATTGGATACAGCAGGCAGATATGTCATACGAAACTATTAAACGGGGAAAAATCAAATAGTTGCAATAGGTCCAACAATTTGGAATAGTCTGCCAGCATCTTGAAAAACTATCATTTATTGTAATTTACTAATAACTAATTAGAACCCCTTGCAGAAGTAGGGATTTGAGTGTTCGCCCAAGTGAGGTAGGATATTGTTTGTTGGCCCTAGGCCGGAGCATACCAATACCCTTAAAACTGTTATTGTCATTCCCTGCTTACAGTTCAGCATATAGAAAAATCACAGTAAATAAATAAACAATATCATCTCTATCTATTTAGCCCCAAACCTGTCCTAGAGAAACACGAGTCAGCCTTGCTAATACTCCTTGGATTCGGTGGGTTCTCCGTCATTCTTGCTCTGATACACAACGCAATAAGGAAGCACGTCTTTCATGATAAAAACAACCTTGACACGACCTTTGACGCTGGAGGTGATGTGAGTACCAGTTTGACGGCCGTCACTGTAGCATCACAGTTGTTTTGGCCTGCTGACATCCTCCAGAGTGCAACTATAACAACGAAGGTAAGTGAAGTTTTAAACTATTTCACAGTAATGAAAGAGTTCTATTGCAAAACTTCAAGCTTTTGCGTAGATGTTCACGGAGAAACTTTTGTAAGTACAATGTACCAAAATGTTGCTGCAATGTATCAGTAAAGATACACCCACGCTATATGGTATGTTACATGCATGCATAAGCTTTACGATTAAAATACAGTTTATTGAATAATCTAGTACAAACTTGTACACCTTTTCGTTCCTCTAAGGGTTTGATTGTTTATATCATAGATCTGTATGCATTTACTGTAAGTGTGTATTAATTGGTTTGGTTTGGTTTAATTTTATTTAACGTCTTGTTCACAGATAAGGTTATTTAAGGACGTGCGTCCATGTGTGTAGTGTATGCGTTCTTGCGTGTGTGTATGCAGGAGACAGGGTATGTTGGTGTTTCAATGAGGATTAATCAAACACAATAACAAAGCATTAAATTTGTCATATTTTTTTTAGTATCTTGTTTCAAAATCTAAATGTGTAATTCAGAACGGCGTCGGAAACATTTCATATAAAAAAGCAGGAAGACAAAAGCAACACAAGATGTATTTGTATGTAAATTGTTTTCCAAAGGTACACAATAGCTGGCGAAACTGTTTGAACGGTACACATTAGCAAGCAAAAACATGTACACCGGTACAAATTTAGCAGACGAAAACGTGAGACTGATAGACCTTTAGCGGCGTCGTAGATTGGAAAAATTACAGAGATGGAATAACATCATTTACATCCACCGAAATTGGTAACGCGAAAAACTTTTTCTGAAAGGGTAACAGTCAATTTGACCAAATGTGATAAAATAAGCATTCAGGTGTTCTCTTATAGGATGTGAATTTTGTTCGAATTAAATAACATAATGGGGTCAGGAATATAAATCAAAACAAGGTATCACAAGTGATACACATCCCCTCGCATTCACACATTGTGACATATTTAAGAGGAAATGAAGAAAGTTTTTTTTTCTAAAAATAGTAACAGTCACCTTGAAATTAACGTCTAAACCCGAAACGAGGAATTGTTAAAGGTACGCTGGAATCACGTTTCGTGAAATTTCGTTGAGGTAGAGTGATTTCATTTTTTTTCTAAAAATATTACAAGTGACCCTGATCTTTAACGCAATAACCCGAAATGCGCACTTATTAAGGGTATTGTCATATCAAACACTTAAAGGTTCAGGAAACGCTGTTGGGGAATGAAGTCGGTAGAGAGATGACAGAGTTTTTTTTCTATAAATAGTAACAGTGACCTTGACCTTGTACATAGAAACCCAAAACGCAAACTTGTACTAAACACTTGTATAACGTTTTATCAAATTCCTATTAGTAATGAAGTCGCTAGAGTGATGAAAACGTTTTTTTCTCTACAAATAATAGCAGTCACGTGCACCTTGACATTCAACGTAGAATCCCGCAACGCGTACTTGTTAAAGGCATTCCCATACCAAAACACTTGTATGGATTTCATGTGAGCGATGAGAAAGAGTGTAACATACGTACGGGCGGAATCCTGTATCCCCTCGAACTTTCGTTGCGAGGGGATAATAATGTAGAAATAAAAATATATATAGTCCAACAATATTTCTTTCTGCTTACTTATTTCAGTCACTGTAACTTAATCACTCAGCGAATAATGTCACTAAACGGTAGTTTAATATACAAAAACGGCATGAGACTGGAGTAAAACTGTTATCGTAGACTTCAGGACGTGTATAAAACTGTTCCAACAACCTATAATAATATCATCAAAAAATCCAAAACTGTCACCAGATTTGTTCAGCATTGATGACTATAGTCTTCTTTAAAATATACGTGATGTCAATGTACTCTTATCTAAATAACAGAACCTTCCAAAAATAACAATTTCTTGTATCTTTATAACTCTCTATGCATGTCCATTCAATCAACCCACAGCACATGCCAGTACGTTTTTTGTTGTTAAAACCTTTAATTGCTTTTAAAATAAATCGTTACGCTCTCTCCAACATAAATAACTCTTTCAGTGATAAAATCCATTGCTCTCAACCATATAGTGCAGGCGCATAATCAGTTTTACGTGCTAGAATGTGCACCACTCTTTATTAAACTCATTTTACCACTTTTTAATTTGCTACAAGCACATGTTTTAAATGTATTATTTAGCGTAATACCAACGTGAACAATATCTTCAACTTCCGGTATAATATTGTCATAAAAACTAGTTGTTCTGACCAAAATACATCAAACTAATTTTGGTGAAAGAAAACAAAAATCTGCATTTTTTACTATAATCCTCGAACATTCTTAGCATGTATTCCAAATCAGTATGTTTATTGCTTACGAGGCATATATCATCAGCTTTAGTGAACACGTTATTTCCAATGTCAATGATCATTGCTCCCTTGCTACTCTGTTCAATATTGTTGCAACCGATTCATAATTATTTTTACACATTTTTGCATTGAAATTGACACAACTTTCTAATCCTTTGCACCTGTGAATCCAGTGGCTTTATGAATAATTGTACAATTGGCATGATTATTTTTATTTTTTAGCATTTTGACAGCATTGGATTGAATAATACTGAGGTAGGGATAGGTGGTATTGAAGACTTCCCACGGACTATCTAACATTTGTCATTTATACATTAAAGGATTCACACGAGTTAGTTGTACATTTCATCCTCACTTACATGTCTATCAATCGGCACTCGGCATTCTACAGCAATTTTTACAACAGGTTAAATGGATCTTAAGAAGTCAATATAGTTGTGAAATGAGAAATTTAAATTGAATACAGGTCAATAAACTCTATATCTTGGTCATCAAAAGAATAACTGTATATTTAAACTGAAATATTTTCTAAAGAATACATTAAAGTGCGGATGGCCCTCGTATCGTGAGAACCTATCACAATACATGTGTGTATCATCATAACAAACAACCGCCCTATACAAAGGACAACTAAGTTATAATATATCATCCTATTAACATGTTATTACGAAGCTAAACGTACTATTTACTTATCTTTAATCTGGTGTCATGCCATTTCTATTTACATTTGGATTGGTAACTTGTCTTAAGTTGTTTTACTTGTCCTGTGATATGATGATAAGTAAAGCGTCAGATTTCTCCACCAATGTATAAATGCATTTGGAAATAAACATTTAAGTTGTCGAAACCCTAATAAACTGTCATTCTTTGCAGAGAAATTGGCTGAGAGAATATTAATACCTGTCACCTTTCGAAAGAGTTTATAATTTAGACTGCTGTCTATGCGATTGGATAAAAAACGATAAATATATAAATCAAAGAAAATGTTTACAAGTAGATATACCATTTTGTCAATGTCTTTTTATCATGTTGTGTGTGATTAGGTCCTGTATGGACAGCAGTAGGAGACAGCACGCCGAAGCGACTGTTTTGATCACGGCTATCACAGTATCGTGACTGTCGTGTCAGCAGACGGTCTTACTGTCTTTATCACAATCGGATACTCCTTTTCTGTGGTAGGGAGTGCTGCGCATTGAAAGTAACCGGTTAAGTAATACTGGAGAAGTACAACAAAGATAGTAGAGAGGAGAGACCAGACGCAGAGTAATCCAACCATTCATTTAATACCAGGGGGCTTCCTGAATAATTGACTCTTATTATATTGAGAGGAGATCGGAAGTATATGCAGATTTTATTGACAATCAAAAAGCGTTCAACACTGTATGGATCAAAGGGTTAATGTATAAAGTGTATAAAGGGGGATTCTATAGCAAATTTTGGAGAATTTTATATAACCCATTTATTAATGTTAAAGCATCAGTGCTTTTCGAAGGCAAGCGAAGTCAGACGTACCCTATAGGACGGAATAGGTCAAGGTCGAGTTATCTCTGCTTGGTGTTTCCTTGTTATGATTGACGACCTTACTTGTGAGTTACACAATTGAGGTCTTGGACTTACGATAAAAGACATACACGTACCATGCGTGTTATTAGCGGACGACACATTAGTATTGTCAGACTCTATAGGGCTTATACATACTCTACTCGTTGGCGTCTCAACTATAACTCTACAGAGAGCTCTCTAGTAGTATTTCAATATTCACGTCGACGTGTGATGTCAGAGGAATGTGAGCCTATATAATGTAAAATTGGTTATGATATAATTCCAATGACATCACAGAAAAAGTATGCTGGGATAACGTTTACCCATAACCTACAATCAAGCAGTAGTATTTTGTATGCTTGTGTGAAAGGAAAGGACTAACCTGATTTCACTTTTAATTATTAGTATTCACCCCAATGGGCTGAACCCTGCAGTAAGTTTTAATATTATTAAAAGTGTTGTATATTCAAGCTGTCGAAGAGTAGGAACGTACACAGAGATATGCGTGTAGACGTTGTATTGGTCTTCCTAAAACTTCCTCCTCATCAGTGACTGCTCAGTGTTTAGGGTCATTTGCTATGTGGAGCGAAGTGGAGAGACGGAAACTATTGTTTTGGAACAAATTGTGTTTAGGTGGTGCTAGGTTTTTATGGAAAAAACTTTTTATTATTAGACTATGCCAATGTATGTATGGTAGTTCATCAACTACTCAAATAGGATTCCTGCCTGATATATATAATATAATGGTTAATTTTAATAATTTATCAATGACTTTGTTCTAATTATATTCGTACCACCGATGGAAACGTTTCATTAATAGATTTGTATATTATTTTTATTACTTTAGGTGGAAAGATACACTAAATACACGTGATGAACATAAGAGATATGCTGCTATCCATAGTCATCCGGGAATAAATCCAATATTGCATTTAAGCACTAAACAAATTTCTCAACAACATGTTGGGATCTCGTAGATTTATTGAAATACTCAATATCTTGTGAGAATGAAGTCGTTATATGTAAGATATGTGAGAAAACAAGTAAAGATATTGTGTTGCATTATGTATTAGAATGTCCAGATTTATACTTAAGCCGTATTAAAATATGGATGGTGTTGTAAATGCTATAGAAGTATTGTCATATGTACAGTTTTCAGAATTAAGCATTGAAGACCAATGTAGCTTTTTACTTGGCGATCATTCACATGTATACTTGACTGATATAGAGTGGGAAACACTAATGACAAACATGGCTGGAAATATCAAAGGAATGGTATGTGAGATGGAGAGTTCTCTATAATTAACGTATTGATGTATATATAAGTGTATACGTATATATGTAAAAGTTGTATGAGGAATAGATATTGTAGTGAACATTTTGTATTATGAATTGTATAATGCAGTTTTATGAATGTCAAATACGTCATTATTCTGTACATTTACCTCTCAAAACTATGTTTATATGTGAATTAAGATACATTTTGTAAAACCGTTTTGACATATGAAATCTCCTGAAGGAGTAAATAAAGAATGTCTGTCTGTTCGTCTTTCTGTGCCGTTGCTGCACGTGTCAAATGTAGATGACACACGGGCAACATTAATGTGTATAACGCACCCAGCTACGACAGTTGTGACCTATATTTTCCCTTCCCTACCTTTACTTGTATATCTAATATTGATGTTTATAATACCTAACGCTTCCCTTGCCTTCACGTCACACTTGGTGATTTTGTAAAAAAAATGGCCCATATGATTAAGGTAATGGGTACTGCGTGTAGCACACATACTTACAAATGTACATAACATACATAGAGGCACGTCTTTAAATGACCTAAGCTGTATATATGACGCTAAACTCTACAAACAACCTAACCAAACCACATTCTCGTATATACAAAGAGAAAAGATGTGCTTTACAGAAATAAAATTGGTTATGGTTTCAAATTTAGGAATCAGAATTATGCTTATTAATTGTTCTAACATTACAGATTGGAATCGCTGGACCGTTTTGGTATTCTGTGAGTGTCATTCTTAACATTTTCATCTTTCCCATCTTCTCCGTTTATTTCAAAACAAGAGCGCCTGGAGCAAAAACCTACCTACAGGTAAACAGCTTTTCACAAAACCGTCTACTTCATATAGCTTCCATACAATAATTCTGAATATACACTAGTGTAACAACAGCTATGCCATGTAGAATAGCGGACATTCAATAGAGTGGTTCATTTTCAGTCCATTTTGTATCAACGATTTAGCGTTGTTGGAGTTATAATGATTGCTGTCAACACATCGCCTTATCTTTTACTTCTGTTTCAGATCATTAATGCTAGATTTGGTAAGAAGGCCCACATAGTATTTTGCTGCTTTGCACTCGTCACTAATATGGTTATCATGACAGCTTTACTGTTGGCGGGAAAATCAACCATCCAATCACTGACCAAAGACATTTCAGATGAATACATCCTTCTCATCATGGCCACATTGTTTGGATCCTATTCCCTGATTGGTGGAATTGGAACAACGTTTTATGTGTCTTATTTCAACGCCTGTCTCATTTTCATTTCATTGGCTGTTTTCATTGTGAATGTTCTACATAATAATGATAGTGATAACAAGAACATAGGCAACGCGGCCAGAATGTACAATGTAGTTTCGTGTGTACAAGGACCTGCTGAAAACACCGGAAGTAGTTTTCTGACCTTCCGGTCTGGGGTTGGAATAATCTATGGCGTGGTAGGTTTCTTTGCAGCATCTGCTGTCACCTACTGCGATCAAGCTTCTTGGCAGAGTAGGATTGCAGCCAAACCGATGCAGGGCGTTTGGGGATTCATCCTGGCCGGCTTTATGTGGTTAGCTATTCCGTCTACAATGGCGACTACCACAGGCATAGCTTACATAGCTATAAGTGCCGAAAACAGTACACACTTGTTGACACCTGACCAAATTGATCACGGTAAATCCTTATATTTAATCTTACTTAACTTGTTAACCTTTTTAAGTTGACGTTGATATTTTACAGCCGACTTCCACTATGCCTGTCATTTTACTCAGCTAGCAAAATCACACTAGAAAGCCAGAAATACATCCAATACACACATTAAACGTGTTACAAATTACAGGTTCAGTTATAGAGCTAACCCTGATTAAGTGATAAAAAAAACGGTAAACACTTTACGCCAACTCTAACAGCCGAGTAAAAGGTTGAAATAAATGATAATATATCATACTTGTTGGTCAGTATATAGTTTGATAGTAAGATTACTTTTATTGTCACAATTTTGATGTCTTATAGGTTGGTAGTATTAGTGTACTTTTCTATCATACGCTATGAACACGACATGAACTTTGTTATTATTGGTGATAACTATTCCTAATAATTAAGCATTTTTGTGATTCATGCAAACTAGGGTGTAAGAAAGATATAGTGTATTGATTGAAAATGTATATCGATTAGGCCTTTGAGTGACCTAGATATCGTCCTTTGTTATACCTTCACAATGACAATAGATTCAAAGAAGAAAAACTTAAACAAAAACAAACATTAGTTTGATCTCACACGCCTTTATTTTTTACGGTGATATAGTCTTAATTACGAAAAGTAAGATGTATTCATTTTACCAAAGTTTCTTGTGCTATTTTTCCATAGAGCAGGAACATCATGGAATATTTACATTCTGTGTTGCATTTGCGTATATGTCGTTAGTAAACCAAATTGCAGTATATGAGACTGTATACTACAATTTACAGTGATACGGCCAGTGAAGGAATACAGCTGGTACAAGGTAAACACACATGGTCGCCCAATACTTTCGGTATCAATAGGCCTATAATCGGAAAACATTCTGGGTTCGTTAGCATTGAGCAATATAGGTCATCGCAAAAAAATTAAGCAACTTGACAAATTATGACAATATAAATTTATTATAAGATGTGTAGGTACCACAAAATTATTGTAAGCGCCATTCTAGATACGAAACTACCAAGTTTGTCAACGTCATCACACAGGGGATCGGTTTCGAGATTTTGAGTTATGCATAACATCAGAAAATAACCACAACAATAAAATTCAGCATTTCTAAAACCTTGTAAAAGTCGAGGGTGTCGACAAGGTTTTAGAATGTGTATAAATATCTTTTTAAGTGTTGTGTTTTTTCTGTGATGTCATCCATTACTCAAAATCACGAAACCGAGCCCCTGTGAACGTCGTCTGCTAGCGATGCTAATCTGACCGATTAGACATGGAATCTATTTCAAACGAAATGTCCTTGGAATCGTTAGCACCTACTGAAAGGACCACTTTAATTAAACATTTCCGAGTATATATGCTTCTGAAAATAACGTAATATTCCAATCGAAGGAAACATTAGCGTTTCCGAGGAAACAATCAAGTCCGTTCAGCGCCGCATCACTTCAAAATACATGTAATCTATTAATGCGCGAAAAACAGCTTTAATTTTATAACAAGCAGAAGTTATGCAATTATTAACAATTTTTCCACATATACACACTCATATGAAATAAATAATGAAGTTAAGTTTGTGTTCAAACCATTGTATGTGCGTGTGGTTTTCAATGACACGAGGGACTATATTGTTTCTTCTGGAAATGTCGGCTGTTCTGGGATTTGAACTTACTGACGTCACTGATATGATAAGCGGGAAATTCAAACGTATATTTGCTTCAGTTACTATACAAAACAATTTTATTTCTATAGCTATTTGAATTTATACATATCCTACATTGTTATGTTGACTAACTTGATTACCCTGAACAAATTTGATTGTAATTGAATTTCGTTCCTAGTCTTGGTTTCGTTTTGGCTATTGTAATTACTAAACGTTACCCCACATCAGTTTTACGTAAGCAGTTTACAAAATAGTTTTTCAGCGAAAATTGATTTTGTTCAAACCTGGCTACAAGGTCACGTTTACGCAACCAAATAGGAATGGAAACTATGTTGATGAAGTCAGCTTCATGGTTACACCCAACTCTCCAATCGATTCAAAAAAGTGACCGTTGATTGCCCTGATGTGTTTAAATTGAACTTGGTCGATCTTTTTACAGTTTAGACATAAGCTTAATATCACAGTCGGTCATCTATAAGACTTCATGCTAACCAGACTAGGGAGCGATGGGTGAAAGCCTCAAGTACGACTTGACTTAATACGAATTGCTGCTGAAACGAAGTGATATTGATTTCAATCTTCAATTTTTCTAATAAGGACTGGTTACACCGTTTATTGCTGAGAAACTTCTTGGACCGACGGGGGGAATCATGATACTTACAATCCTGTCCATGGCCCTAATGTCCACAGGGTCCGGGGAAGTGATGGCCATCTCGTCTATCATCGTTTACGACATCTACCAGATCTACGTCCGGCCCTTCCGGTGAGTCTTTTGTCTTTGTTCACTTTTGTTCTCAAAGGTGAGATCCCCGACCTGCAAGGTTGGAGTAAAAGATAACATAATAACAAGGCACACCTATTAGCATAATGATAAAATATACATTCAAAGCAAAAAGAAATGCAATATTTTCCATGATGACGACCAAAATACTAGCCTGATTCTTTCACACTCTTCATTTCGCCAACATTTTCGCTGTTTATAGTCTACAAATAATCTTGAACAAGTATCTCAATTTTGGATGATCAATTGGTGTATAAGAAATAAAAAGAAATTATGGAATCTTTATCTTGATGTAAGCAATGTTTTGGGAAAGAGTTCAAACAAATTAAACGTCACCAGAAATAAATTTGATATGTAGGATCTTGTGTTTAATCTATAGATTACGTTTTATATGAGTACCGAAGTTTATAAAATATGATGCCAAGTTGTGCTCTTTTTGGCAGTAAGGGTCTGCCAGGAACACATTGCATCTTGTGTGGTAAGCATGTGAGACTCCCGAAGTCGGACATCCTGGTCCCACTGACAACCAACACCAATTCCAAAGAGGACTCCGACACTCCGGCGTCAGATAACACACATTGTGACTGTCAACCTGTCGCAAACTGCCACCAATGTGACGAAGACATGCGCAGATGTGCAGTGAAAAGAACATATGACGCCATTCCACTGCACAGATGTACTGTACACGGTCAATACCGGACGTACCAGAATGTCCTGATGGACTTCAAGAACTGGTGTATCGTGTGGGTGACTGTCGGTATCATACCGTTCGGAATGATTGTATTTGCGATAGGTATAGATCTCAATTGGATATTCTACGTGGGCGCTATTGTCACCATACCCTGCTATCCGGCTGTCATTTTATCTATTGTATGGGTTAAAGCGACCTCTCAGGGACTTATAGCAGGTAAACGTTCTTAATGATCTGGTTACGTTTTCACCTACATTGTGTATAGCGACACTTTATCTTTACTGATTGTATTGGTATAGTTGTAAAAATGACGTTGTACAAAGGTCAGCAGCTTTTTCTAGCAGTTATCTGGAAGGTTGTTTTCCCTAATCATTAATTCAATTCCGTTTAGCCTAAACCGGATTAATTGAAAGAAAATGGTTTATCGTGCCATCGACTTGCCATCGACTAACGCAACAAAAAAGATATCTTGAAAGAATGACAAATATATATAAGTGATACTGTAAAGTACATCTTCCTTATGTATTCTTTCTGCAGGATAATGTATGTATACACTATTGTTCCAGGGGGAATACTCGGTCTTTTGATCGGTTTAGCTGCCATGCTTGGTACTGCATCAACGTACGAGGGAGGCTTGAACAACTTCCTTCTTAACACATCACAAGACTACTCCATTTTGGCGGGATCTTGTTGCAGCTTTGGCTTCAGTTTGGTTGGTTGTATGATAGTGTCCTTTTATACTCATACGATTAAAACAGATGCTGACGCTGATGCTGAATGGAAGAAAATATTCGACATTGATAACCCACTTCACCCATGGGAACTGAATCTTCGACAGGATCTTAAACAACATGTATACGACAAGAAGCCATCATACAATCAAGTTGAAGCTACTTTTCGAAAGGCCAAAATAACCGCCTACGTATGTGGAGGTTTGAGTATTTGCCTGGTTACCTTTGTCATTCCTGGTATCATGGCTTCTTTCCCCGTCCTCAATGAGACTCAATTTGAGATTTGGGTTGGTTTGACTCAAGCATGGGCTGTCGTCATGGGAGCTATTGCAATTGTAGCGCCTCCTGTAGAGGAAATATTAAACATCCGGAAACAATACCGTAAAAACAGAGAGCATGGGATTCCATATCCAATCTAGGAATTATTTACTTATTGAAGTCTGCAATAATTGAAAAACCATAAAACGTTAATATTATCATACAAAAACAAAACCTATTTATTATACCAGAAAAGACGAAATCCTTTTGAAGATAATATCTACAGATTATAATTATATATATAAACAAAATATACACGAGAAAGGAACAAGTTTGTGTGAGGGAAAAAACGTATGGTTGTGTGAGGGAAACGTTAAAAGGTATGGTGGTGTGAGAGAAACTTAATGAATAGGTAAGATTGCGTGTGGGAAACAATGTGAAAAGGTATGGTATTTTGAGGAAACATGATAAATAATATGGTTGTGTGAGGAAAACATAATAAAAATGTATAGTTTTGTGAAGGAAACATAATTAATTGGTAGTGTTTTGTGAGGGAAACATTATATAAATGCTACATACATTAGAGTCTGACAGTGACCAGGGTCACCCCGAGGGTTAGTCCGAATTATTCTGACGTTTTATCGACTTTTTTATCGGTCTGTCGTCGATTAACGTCAGAACTCCGGCCCTCTATAATATGCGGGAATTAAGCGACCCGCCCCGGGTCGCACTTCAAACTGATATTTTATCAACAAATAGTCACTTTCACACACATGTCGCACATGGATCGCGGGTCGCTTATTCCCCGCATATTATAGAGGGCCGGAATTCTGACGTTAATCGACGACAGACCGATATAAAAAAAAAAAGTCGATAAAACGTCAGAATAATTCGGACTACCCGAGGGTGAGTGATATCCGAGGGGTGACCCTAGGCACTGTTACACTCTTATGAATGTAGTTTTTATCTTATTATACGAAATTCAATAAATAACAAAGTTTTCATATTTTAACAAATATTGAATTTTCATCTTCAAATATAACAATGAAATATTCAAGATTTAATAATAAATGTTTTAACAGCCAAGACATTTCGCAGTTTTAAAACTCTAACTTATTTGTTGATATTAACGATCGGGATACCGAAGATCTTCATATCGTCATCAGTGAGGGTGTCCTGGTGTTTCACTCCCCCGAAACCCGTTTTTTAATATCAATCACAACTGATTTGTACATGTTCGTTTGATTGTACGCTGCGCGCTTTGAGAATCCCTATCCGTCAATAGTTTGACTTTATCCAAATTACCCAACTTGACATCTGCAAATCTCACCATGTTTTACTTCACTGAGCAGACAACCGATATAAGCGCTCATCACAGCGTTGCATCGTCGTACTAATTGCCGGCCAGTAATCCACGGTAACGACATAGAGTGCCTTTGAATCGCATTGCAAAATACATGGCGGCTGAAACGAACCGTACGCGCATCTCCTTTGCGCGGTCACTATTTTGCACTATCACACCACACTGTCGCCCTTTGCTAGGCCGTTTGGAAGCATGCACCCTTCCATTGACTCAATTTTAAAGCGAGTGTGACAGTGTGAAATCAACAAATTGTCTCCTTCAATCAGATAACAGGGTTTTTTCACTAGAGGTATAATAAGATAAAATGCTATGGCTGTGCGAGGGAAACATGATAAAATGGAATGGCCGGGTTAGAGAAATATGATATCGTGTGAGGCCAGGGATGGCAGTTGTATTAAATCTCAACTTCATAATAACGTGTTTGATTGGAATTATATATATCGAGTACATAAAGAGGAATTAAACCAAAAAGTTTATCAAATCAAAAAACCTGTGTAGGAGTGCATCACTAAGCTTTCGGTGTTGTTTTTTTACATATTTGGAAAGATCAACGTCCTGGCGGGATCAGTATTCTTTAAAAAATGTCACAGAATATGATGACGTGAATGGCAAATGACTACGAGTACAATTTGCATCTCTCACTTGCAGTACAATCATAGATTATGTTAAAGATAACAGTACATACTGGTGATCGAAATAACAAAAGGAAATTAGGAGACATGAACATGATAACAGGCACTTACCAGATGTCAAATTGATAACACAAGCTTTGGAGACACAACAGAAACCTCCGAGATATCAGGTAAAACAATAGGAACTTAGGAGATATCAGGAAAAACAACACAACCTTAGGATACATCTAAATGACAAGAGTTTTAAATTCATTAACATATGTAACATGAACTTTAAGGAGATATTTAAAGTAAGAGTAGCATAAACTCTACAACGAAATCAAGGCGTGGCCACGTGCTCCGATGAGCAAATCTCCCTGCTCAAAATTTCCAACAATGAGGCAATAATAATAAATTTGTAAAATTACTCAAAAACGCTTTACAACATATGGATAATAGTAATAGTTATAATTGTGAAACAAAAACAAAAGCTTTTATACATTTAGGCAAGCAATGTGCACATAATTGAACAAATAAAGGGTGTTACATGACGTCTTTGCAGAGACCCTAAAATGCAGACGTGAAGAGGTGAGTTTAGATGTCCCTCTTGAATTTGGCCAGGGTATTTGACTTTCTAATAGCAGATGGTAAGCTATTCCACAACGTGGCCGAAACCCTCTCAAAGCACCGGTTTCCATAGGTCACAGTACGAGATTTAGGGACACACAACAATGATTCTGACTCCGACCGCAGTGACCGTGACGGCTGATAAAGGGTAACAAGCTCATGTAGGTACTGAGGAGCTGTTCAATTCAGTGCCTTGTATGTGTACACCAAACGTTTGTACTGTGACCTGTATCTTACAGGTAACCAGTGCAATGAATATAGCACAGGTATGATGTGCTCTCTCTTTCGAGTACGAGTAACCAGCCGTGTTGCAGTGTTCTGGACCCTCTGCAGACGACTAGTTAGTTAGTCAGATATACCACCATAATCCAACAGAGAGGTAACAATTGAATGCACCAACATCTTGCATGCATCTTCAGTTATAAACTGGTAGTAACAGGATTTGGCAATAGCGTTCACTTGTTTCTCCATGTTCAGTGAACTATCAAAGTATACCCCTAGGTTTTTAACAGCTGGGTGTAACACAGTCAGTGTTACGCTACGACGTTGTATAAATAGATTACGTATATCTATCAGGAACAGAATTGATTACATCGGGAATATCTATCGGGAATGGAATTGATTACATCGGGAATATCTCGGACAACGCTTCAAGTCATAATTGACTATCAGCATGTGGGGCGTATGGACCCCTGACAGTCAGTGGTACGACGTTAACGTTGTGTAACTGAAACTGACCATCTATATTTGTGTAACTGAAACTCACCATCTATAGTATGTAGGGCTTAATTATATCGGAAATAGCTCGGACAACCTTTATAAATAGATTAAGTATATCGGGAATATTAATCCAGATTACTATGCACGAAACAATTATAATCGAGTATAAATATAACCTAGAAAAGGGGATAATGTGAGAGAGGAGCAAGGAACGGCGAGAAAGGAGTAAGGGACGGTTAGAGAAGAGGTCAGAAGGGCTTGGGGCGGTTAGAGAAGAGGCCAGAAGGGCTAGGGACGGTTAGAGAAGAGGCCAGAAGGGCTAGGGACGGCTAGAGATGGGCTAGAGCTAGTACAGCTAGAGACAGCTCGGAGACGACTTAGAACGAGACCAAACGATAGAGACCGATCCTAATACTTGAGGTTACCAGAATAAACGTTTAACCAACCATCAACCCTTGTCACTCGTTTTGTGTTACATGGGACAGTCTCAATAGTTCTGGCTACGACCATGAGCTGGAGAGCCATTGTTTGCTGACACTTTGGGGAAAAGACGATTAGTTCCGTCTTTTCTTGATTAAGTTTTAGTATGTTGGCGTTCATCCAGGTACTGATATCTGTCAGACAAGTTTTTCTGAAACTGTATCCCAACTGTCTTGTATTTTGATGACCATATAAATAATAGTATACACAGATTTCTCAATGTTTGATTAGGTCATGATGACGACTGTTCAATCCACAAATATTTATATATACATCTTTGAGTCTTTCCAGTAGAACAATTTCACTAATTATTTAGTGTGTCCATATGTTTATCAGAAAAAGACCAGCTCACTGTGGCCGATTGTTACTGACATACCAAAGAGTCATATGAATAATATTACTTTTGACATCAATCGTCTTTTTGACTACCAGTTACCTACAGCTTCGTATCGATAAACATTGGTGTTTTTCTCTGTAAATCTGTCTTTCACTTTTTCAAAATTTCACACCTGTACTTTGATAAAGGGTTGTGTATTCTGTCCTTTTCGTATGGTAACAATGATCTTAACCTAATGAAATAGTACGCTTTACCTAAACGATATTTTACAGAAGCTATTAAGATCTGTTTAATTTTCCTGATTGAATATTTACTTGAGCAATTGGATCAACTTGATATATTCATCGTGGTTTTAAACTTGCAACGGCGATCAATGTCGGACCCCGGACAGGGACCTTGATAATAAATTACTGGGTGTGCGTTAGTGTGTTCGGATCTATCCTGATATGTTGAACAAATGTCTGTTCCCCTATTCAGTATTTAACCTGAATATATAACATGTTCGGTGGGCATACAAAGCATTCCTTTGCTACGTTAGAAAGACGAACATTTCTTTCTTTTTATATCAACGTAACATGCGTTCATATTTCGCAGATATGATCTCCATAACATGTAAATGATGAGTGTTTTTGGATAATTCAAGCCAGTGCAAGCACGTCAACCACTTCTCGCATATTCTTAGACCGACACCAGTCGATGGTCCGTATGAATACTATAAATAAGTAAAAGTGGAGCGAACGTAAAGGAACTGCACTTTTAACGTTTTTATTGTATAGTCCAACGTTAAGTCTTTGGATTTCTTTATTTACACTTTAAAGCGGTCATTTCGGTATATTTGTAATATTGCTCATATAAAACAGATCCATATTGGTTTTCAAGAAAATATGCCAAATTTGTGATAACCTAGTTATTACAAATTACAATTATTCCACTGGCGTTACCACATTTCTTTTGTTTGTGATTCCGACATCCTCGCGACAGCCTGTGCCTATGTAGGCGGCGTTCACAGATGAAAGGACCACTTCAGGGCTACTTTTAAGTTCTGTCCCACTGAAATGTCATAACCTAGACACAGAAACATGACACTCCACCTGGTCACTGATATGTCATAGCATGGACACTGTGGTATGACACTCCATTCGGTATTAGTATACTGACGACAGGCTAGCCTGTCCTCACGGGCACCCATTCAATGCTGAACTTAAAGCAGTGAGCATTACGTATCAGTTTTAGGAAACGTGTTCGTCTCGGACTGGTATCAGAACCAAAAGCCAAGACACCGGGTTAGGAAATGAAAAAGGATATAAAAGTAATCCTGCACCGAAAGAATGCACAAGTGACGAAGAGGTGACACACAAGTAGAAAAATCTAAATGGGCCTGCATCCCCCTGTTGCAACTCAGTCCTGTTAGTACCTGTACATCGTGCATGTGTCACCTTCAATGTAAGTCAGGGTCATTCTTTTGAAAAAACCTGATATTCCTTTATCCAAGCAGGACACATACTACATAGACGTTATG